AGAGGAGCGGTGTGGGGGGGGGGGGGGGGGGGGGAGGCAGAAGAGTGCTACAACCTTGAAATCATTGTCACGCCTGGAGAGGGTTGTTTTAAATGACTCCTCTGTGACTTTTTCTGTCATGATTGAGCACTTGTTCGACCACGGTAGGGTTCACCCAGATCCTCAGTGTTCCCTCTAACCTGAGTCAGTATGAGCTAGCTCACAGTTTTTCAGCCTCCGGCTCACACATTTTTGCCTTGACTCAGGAAGGAGGGCTCCAGAGCGAACAGATTTTTTTATGCAGTAGCCAAATCGCTGGCTCACAACTTTAATGCCAGTAGCTCACAAAGTAGAATTTCTGCTCACAAGACTCCAGAGATTAGAGGGAGCAATCCAGATCACGTTGATCAGTTGTGCCGGAGAAAATGGTTGCTTTGGAGGGTGGGTTCTATGGCACTGTACCCAACCGAGGTCCCTCCCTTCCTCAGATGCCATCTTTCCCCAGGCCTGTAGCTAGGGGGCTTTTCCTCAGGGTTTCTTTTTGCTCATGGGTTGGCCATTCTGTGTATGCCTTACTTCTAAGCAGGGGTCATTTCGTAGAAAAAGAGGTGCAGGAGCTCATTAGCATAACTTGTTTGCATATGTCACACCCCCTGACATCACCGGAAGTGTGTCAGAAGGCAACACCCACCGCTCAGGCTCCACTGGACTGTTTTGGATTGCTAGCTATTGGGGGGGAGGGGGACGCGCAGATCTGTCCTCGCAGAGGAGGGAGAGCTTGTACCAGAATAAAACTTGGTCTTAAAGGTGCCACTGGACTGTTTTGGACTGGGGGCCTGGGGGGGACTCTGCAGTTTACCTGGCTGCTTCTTGCTCGGACTGAGGGCTGCTGGGAGCAGGGGGTGGGGCTTGTTGCATGTGCCCGCCCCCTGGGCTCCTTACTGCCGGAGCTCCGCTCCTGTGTACTCCTGCAGGAAATGACCCCTGACTACATTTTGGATTTGTGGGGCGTAGTTGGGGGTTGTTTGTATATATGTCTGTATATCTGTAGTATATAATGGAAAAATAATAATAAAAGTGTACCCTCGGGTACTTTAAAAATAAATAAATTTGGATTTGTTGGGGGGGGGAGGTTGCTGCCAAGTCATAGCCAATTTACAGCGACCCCATAGGGTTTTCGAGGCAAGCGATGTTCAGAGGTGGTTTGCCCTTGCCTGCCTCCACGTAGCGAACCTGGACTTCCTTGGTGGCGTCCCATCCGAGTGCCAACCGGGGCTGACACTGCTTAACTTCCGAGATCTGACGAGATCAGGCTGGCCTTTGTTGTTGTTCAGTCACACAGCCGAGTCCGACTCTTCCTGATCCCATGGACCACTTCACGCCAGGCCCTCCTGTCCTCTGTCGTTCTCTGGAGTTTGCTCAACTTCAGGCTGGCCTAGGGACTTGCAAAAACCATCCCTTGATTTCCACCGCATTCTTTAGTTTTCCACCCTCAGGAACTGCAGATGTCAATCAACTGTGGGTCTGAATGTGGTTTAGCAGGAGGGTGTTCCTTACATCCTTGTTCTTTAGGCAACTGAGCTAACTTCTGTAAGAGTTTGGGCATCCCACTGGTGATACATTTTTCAGCATTAAAAAAATGCATCAGAATTTGCACCAGCCAGATTTAGAGCAGGGGGAAGGGAAAGTAGCATGGTATAGCCCAATCTCATCAGATCCCCAAGCTAAGTGTCAAACTTGCTGTGCATTTTACAGCTCATTTGCCATAGCAACTGGGGAGGGGGAGAGTGTGAAACCAAAATGCTTTTGCTTTTCTAGACACCTTATCACCTCTGAGAACCTTTAGTGTCCTTGAGTCTCAGTGTGTGCTCCTTTCAGCAGAGCGGGGTGCTGTAGCTAATTCCTGTACTGAGCCAAGGGGGTTGGAATAATTGACCTCTAGGATCCCTTCTAACTCTGTGTCAAGAAACTAGTCTCCTTTAAGAGAGTTTTCCTGCCTCAGTGTTAGCTTTCTTGACTCTAGCAGTCATCATCCCCACCTGCCGGCTTGTTCTCAGAATGGTTGCTTAGGCTGGTAGGAGTGATTAACTTGCAGCAGCTGAGAACCGTCATCTGAGATATTTGACAGCTTGCAGTTTAGAGATCTATCCTGGTCATGGCTTTCTATTGGCTAAATGGCTTTTCTTTCCGCATTGAGAGCTTCAGCTCCACCAGGGAAAATAATTTGCCCCACATGCCACAAAATCCTGACTACGGGCCTGATTGAACCTGAAAAATATTGGTATTCCCCGATATTCCTGAATCCCAATACCAGTATGGTATTGGGATTCAGGAACTATTCAGGATTGCTGAATCTTTTTGGGTCCCGTGTTCCTAAAAAGGAAAAAAAGAAAACAAGAGGACCAGCTGGGGTGGCGGGAGCTGAGAGCTCATGCTACCCCAGCCGATCCTGGGCTGGCTCCTTTTTGCAGCTCGGTTGAAAGAGGAGCCAGCTTCTCTGCACAGGCTCTGCTGGGGCTCCGCTGGGCAGCCCAGTTTAGACCAGACCGACCAACAGAGGCCACCCAGGAGCTGATCCTGCAGGGAGAGGTCTCCTTGCAGGCTCTGCTGGGCAGCCCAGTTTAATTCATACTTCCCAACAGAGCTGCCTCCGTTGTTTCCAAGGAGGGGGGAAGACATTTAAAGAGACCTTCTGGGCATGGAGCAGGGGTCACTGGGGTCGGTATTTGTGAATTTCCTGCAATGTGCAGGGGGTTGGACTAGATGACCCAGAGGCCCCTTCCAACTCTACGATTCTATGATTCTATATATGATGGCTCTGCAGGTTAAGGAGAGTCTCCTTAAACGGTCAAACCATTCTAAGAAAAGTGGGGAGGTCACGGTGCTGGCCTCTGAAGGCACAGCTTGTTAATTCCTTTGCTTCTCAGCGCTCTTGTTGGCCTAACCTTCTGACTTATCCGTGCCCTTGCGGGGGGTTCTTAGCCTTTGAATATGGATGTGTTAGCTCTGTTGACAGAAGTGGTTTCCTTCAAATGTTTATTTGAACTTGAATCCACCGTCTTGCTCTTCCACTCCCGGGTGTTTCCATTTTGACTCGACTTCTTCTCCTTTGACTTTCAGGTGCAGTAACCGGACGCAGTGCGCAGTGGTCGCTGGCCCAGACGTCTTTCCTGACCCTTGCCCGGGAACGTACAAGTACTTGGAAGTACAGTATGAATGTGTCCCTTACAGTACGTATATTATCCTCTGCTTTCCCCCCCCACACACACCACTTTGTCTGCTTCTTTTTTTGGAACTGTGGCTTCAGTTACGACGGAGTTTGTGCTTAATACTGTAAAACAGGAACTTCTTGAAAGAACACTTGGTTTCCCCCGTAGCTGTTTGGGAAAGGGTGTGGTGTGACAGATGTGCGCTTTCACACACACTAAATAACACATTTTCATTCCACTTCCAGTGCACTTTGCAGCTGGATCTTACTGTGTGGGATGGCAAAATCCGCTTACAAGCGGTCGCTGAAGTGGATTGAAACGGCATTATTTATCACGTGTGGAAGCACCCAGAGTCTGAATGTGAATGAAGGATGGGAGCAGTCGACCGGGAAATGCCTTATTTGAATCTCGCCTTAGTTTGGAATCTTCTTGGACAGTGGCATTTAACCCTTGGTTTAGGAGGACCCGTGAAGCCCCACTTGCTGAGTTCCAAGCCCCAGTAGAATACCCCACCACCCCCTTTTGAATTTTTCTTAAGTAGGACCTGCTGCTACTGCTCTCACTGGGAAGAGCAGTGGAACCATCTCAGTGTGACGGAGAGCGTTCCTCCATTACTCTGAGCCTTTGACTTGTCTGTCCCTCATTGTGAAATGTCTTCAGGTGTTTGGGTTGTGTCTTGTCCCTAGCTGGACTGGCCTGCCACTCAGGGTTCTGGTGACATCAGCAAGGTCATAACTTTAGTTTTCTCCCTGTCATTTGGCTGTCATGTCACATGACTTCTTGTCACGTGGTTTAAAGCCAGTGGGTTGCATGCAGCCACCTGGGTTTAATGGTGGATCCCAGATGTGGAAAAGTTGAAGACCACTGCACTGCGGGGAAGGAGGATTAGGAAACTCTATTCCCTCTTAGCTTCCTTTCTGTATTACGAACGTGCCCGAATTATTCAGTGTTTCTAACCGTGATCATGTCTGTTCTTAAAGATGCTAGAAAGTGTGGTAATGGCCAGTGGCATAGATGGCATTAAAAGGGGGTTAGATAAATTCAACAGTAGATTGGCTACTAGCTAAATGGAACCTCTAGGTTTAGAGGCAATGAACACCTGTTGCTTTGGGGAAGAGTTATATGACAAGGGATGGTGGTTGTGTTAAGGCTTTCTTTGTGGTCTTCCAATAAGTACCTAGGTGGCTACGGTGGGAAAGAAGATGCTGGACGAGGTAGATCCATCTGGGCTCTACTACCACAAAGTGTTGAGGAGAACATTAAACAATGCTATTTTAAGTACTGGGATGCATAGTACAACCCGATCTCATCAGTTCTCGGAAGCTAAGCAGGGTCAGTCCTTCAATGGGAGACCACCAAGGAAGGCTTTGCAGAGAAAGGCAGTGCAAACCACCTCTGCTTAAACCCTGGCATGTGGGTTCATCATAAGGCAACTGTAACTTGAGAGTCCAATGTTCCCTCTAAGCTATAGAGTCTTGTGAGCAAAAGTTCTACTTTGTGAGCTACTGGCAATAAAATTGTGAGCAAGCGATTTGTCTACTGCATAAACTAGGTTGTTCTGGAGCCATCCTTCCTGAGTTAAGACAAAAATCTCTGAGCTGGAGGCTAAAAAACTGTGAGCTAGCTCACACTAACTCAGCTTAGAGGGAACACTGCTTGAGAGCACATTATACACATGTGTAAGTGCTGAGTGTCATTATCATCGTATTATACCTGTTGGCAAACCACCGTGGAATTTCAGAACAATCGGTTGGGTCCCACGGATCTGTTTCACTAGCGAAGGCATTCTCCTATGGCCTGAGCATCCGACACCACCGACACTTCTCAAAAATGAGGACAGTAGTCAAAACGGAAGTCGGAAGGAGGAGGGGGGAGAAGGTCAAAGCTCTTCCAGGTGCGTGGGAATCATTTAAATTTACAACAATGTAGGCAAGAATGGGTTTAAATTAACGGCGGGAAGGTACCGGTTGGATCTTAGGGAAAACGTTTTCACAGTCCGAGTTGTTCAAGAGTGGAATCCGCTGCCTGGGGAGGTGACGAGCTCCCCCTCACTGGCAGTCTTGAAGCAGCGGCTGGACAAACACTTGTCAGGGATGCTCTCGGCTGATCCCGCACTGAGCAGGGGGCTGGACTAGACGGCCTGCATGGCCCCTTCCGACTCTGTGATTCGAGGATTCAAGACCGTCGACAGAGGTGAAGAAGTGATACTGAGTACCAACGCTTCTCGCCGATTTCCTCATAGGGGAGTTAAACAGAATAATCATTTCAAAGGGGGCAGAGTCAGAACATGTAATCTGCATAAGGAATCCCTGGGCTCACTTTGGCGTCTCCACCTGGGACCAGGCATAGACGGGGCATTAAAACCACTCAGAAAAGTCTGGGGCTGAAGGTCCGGGGCAAGACCCCCCCCCCCCGGGTCACCCTGGCCCCACGCAAGTGAGACTTAATTCACACACGGCAGACCTACATGAGGCAGAAGGGAGCTTGCGGCCCGCGGCCCTTGTCACACGCGAGTCATAGAATCACAGAGTTGGAAGGGACCTCCAGGGTCATCTAGTCCAGCTGTCTGCACAATGCAGGGAATTCACAAACACCTCCCCCCCCCACACACACACACAACACGGTTCCACTCTCAGAAGATGACAAAAACCTCCAGGATCCCCGGCCAAAGTCGACGTGGGCAGTCGCCGCCGCAACACGGTGTCTCCCCAGCAGTGTTCCCTCTAAGCTGAGTTAGTGTGAGCTAGCTCAACATTTTTTAGCCTCCAGCTCACAGCTTTTTGTCTTCGCTCAGGAAGGAGGGCTCCAGAGCAAACGAATTGAGGCACCAGCCAAATGGCTCGCTCACAACTTTAATGCCAGGAGCTCACAAAGTAGCATTTTTGCTCACAAGACTCCACAGCTTAGAGGGAGCGTTGGTCCTCAGCGCCACACAAGGCAGGCAGCGGCTGCCGCTGCCGCGGGCCAGCAACCCTCTCTCTGTGTCGGAGGAGAGGCCTGCTTTCCCTGCCTCCCCTACTCTTCCACTGAAGTGGTAGGGCTGCCTTGGGCTGGGCCCTTTCCCACGCCTGTATTTGCCGTCCAGTCCACTTCTAATCTGAACGGGTCACGGGGGCAATCTAGTACACTTTTATCCTACCCTTCCTCTGAAACACTCTCCGGAAACTCAGGAGAGGCATCACCAATTCAGATTGCCAGCTTCCAGGTAGCCCCTTGAGATCTCCCAGCATTACAGTTGCTCCCCAGGAGGCCAAGACCGGTTCTGCTGGAGGAGATGGTCACTTCGGAAGGGGTACCACCCTGCTGAGGTCCCTCCCCTCCCCAGGCTCCACCCCCAAAATCTCTAGGTATTTCCCAACCCAGAGCTGGCAATGTTACCAGAGGCCGGAGTAGCCGACTAGATGGCTGGCCTGGCTAGAGCAATGGTCTAACGCGATCAGAGATAGCTTCCCAAGGAGATGTTCTTCCTCTGCAGACAAGGAGTCCGAGTGACAACATGAGCCGGCCAAACCACAGCCCCCGAGCCCAACCCCATTCCTGCAATCTAGATATCGTCCATGTGAAAGTGCTTCAGGAAAAACAAACAAAAACACACCAAAACTATGACTGGGTTTGTTGTCACGTTTCATTTCTTCTATTTTCTTTTTCCGCTTCAGAGCATTTGTCACCAAGAGTGTAAAGAGACTTGCCTGTTGTTATGAAAACGAAAGAGACTGACATGTTTATTCCCTACAATCTGATGCTCTTCTATTAAATGCGCATCACTAGGGGAAAGCTTTTTTTCTTCTTTTTTTTAAGCACCTAATTTTTAAAGGGGCTTACAGGAATGCCATCCGTTTAGAGCCTTCCAATTCAGGAACAAATATCGCAGGCTGATTCCTTGTCCTTTCAATGCCCATTCTTGTCTGAAAATGCACAGAGGTGGGCTGGGATGCTTAGATGTGGAGAAGGGGCCCCACGCACCCAGTGCACTAGTGGAAACACTTTCCTCTAGGTGTATGTGACTTCCTGATATAAGATGCTGAGCTTCGTGTCAGGGAGAGGCTCCGATCACCAGGAGAAAATGAATGGATGTTATCTCATAAACGACATCTCCGGAGGGAAAGTGATGAGCCGTTTAACCCCGCTTCCCATATTTCCTTGCATTGAGAAAGGCGTCCAGCGTTTCTGGGCTGCTTTTTTGTTCCCTATGAACCCAGCTGCCCCTAGAGAGAGATGATCGGGTTCTGGGTAGTTTAGGTCTCATATTTATTCTAAGGGAAGTACTTTTACGGGTCACAAATCACCGCAAAGATATCTGGTGGGCCGTTTTTATGTCTAGTGAAAATATCCTCTGGTTGTTCGAGGCATATGCTTCTTTCCCGTAAAACAGAGATGTCAGTCTTTGGCCCAGTAATCACTGAAGCCGTAAACCTTAGGCTAGGCTGATTCACTTCAGTCTGCAGGTGGAGTCTTGTGTGATGGAGAGCCCCTCCGCACAAAATACGGCGCACTAAAAAGCCAGCATGCCAGTGAAAAGCACCTTTGTTCTAATATGATGTTTCGTCGTTGTTATGTCGACCATATGAGGAAACTCCACCTGAAGTGGGACTTTCCTGTCACAGGTTAACCACGCAGATGAGAATCAGTCACACTTACAGGCTATCTGTGGAGGAAGGTGTTACAGTTACACTGCCAACAAAATGGTTGGGACGGCTACGTTGCCGGTGAGAATACTGGTGTCTCAGGAACAGGATCAGAAAGCAAATTGTTACCTTTTGTTTGAGCCACGTACCCCTAAAATACCCATTAAATGACATATTTCTGATCAAATGATAAGAATGACATTTTTATACGACCAAGTAGATACTGTAAATATATACATGTGATATAAATAGTGTTTAGAGAATTGTGACCAGGATACAGGAGACCCACATTCGGTCTTTGACAAGCAGGATGCCGAGAACATTCCGGCAAACACTGTGGTAACTAACTGAGAGACTTAAGAAGTCCTGTGGTGAGGAGTGTTTTCAAACCCTGTC